TTGTTTCTGCAGCTCTGTAGGATTTGCAGTTGTTTAATAAACTTTTTTTATTAACTTGATTGGCCACACCTCTGCTTTGTTAATAATGAACCTTCATGCCTTTGTAGCTGTTAAAACCTTTGCACTGGTTAATGTAATATTTCATGGGGTTAGGTCCTCCTACTGTTCTGCACAGGCATGAATCCCCTCAGTGAGATCATTGACAAGACTGGCTACGGTTACCGACTACACAGTGGATCATCAGCTACTTCCACTATATGGGTGACATCAAGCTGTATGCCAGGAGTGAACAAGGAATCGATTCACTGATCCACACCAATAGAATCTACAGCAACAACAGAATCTCATTCAGACTGGGGAAGTATAGTCGGATGGTAACAAAGAGAGGGAAGGTAATCAGAACTGAGTGTATTGTACTACCAGAAGGCAACATTACAGTCATCAAAGACATCTAGTATCTGGGAATCCCACAGGCAAATGGGACCATGAGCTACAGCCACCTGCAGAGAGTAAGGCAAGTCCTGATGAGTTAGCTGAATAGGAAGAACAAGATTTTGGCAATCGACCTCTATACCCTGCGTGATCAAGGCATAGGTGTTGATTTAGCCCTTTACCTGATCAGTGATCAGTTGCTGGGATAATCAGCTGGCCAAAGGAGGAGATAGCAGCCACTGATATCAAGACAAAGAAGGATGGAGGACTTCAAGCCAAATACAGCATCCTGAGATTGTACGCTAAGCAAATGGAAGGAGGCCGAGGACTAGTAAGTGTCAGAGTGTCAGTTGTACAGTCTGCTGTGCAGGACTATACAACAAACAGAAGGATGGATACAACTGACTGACTTAGTGAGTACCTCATGCAGAAGAAACCTGAGAAGAAAGAGGAGCAAAGAGAAGAATCCATCATGCAAGGACAAGCTCTGAGCACCAGATCCATAGCAGAATTATACTGCCGTATTTTTTTGGTCAATGACGTTTCAGTTTTCGTACATAAGGTGCATCGGATAATAAAGCACAATAAGCAAAACAAAACAGTCAGATATGTTGTTGCAGTATATTAATGTGTATTGTGTATTGTATTGTGGATGGATTAGCATCCTGCCTCCAGCTTCACTGTGTTTATGTTATGCTAACATAGCTGTATTGCTAGCGATCACGTAGCACATCATTATATACCAGCTAGCCCAACTTCAGTAACCCTACAAACTTTACTGCTGTTTAGTTTTCTGTCTTTATTTATGTTGGAAGTGATAGCAGAGCTGTACGTTTGAATTTGTTTCAGAAATCTCTGTCAGAACATGCTATACCATGTTTAGGTGGAAGCTAGCGAGCTAACTTCCTGCTAACTTCCAACTCCGTTAAATTTAATAAATCCTGTTTTCATGGATGCCTGGATGTTAAACTTAATTGTTACACCTGGTAAAGCAGCAACGCTGATCATTTTATTACAGATGAAAGAATTTAGACAGTTTTTAACTCTCAGGGATAATTCTCTGACAATCCATCAAGCGGTGCAGCTTCGCAACTCACCAAAGTCGTACTAAAACATTTTTGACAGATTTCTGAGCGCCGTGTAGACATAAAATTGGTTGAGGTCAGTAAGCACAACCAGAATTCATACATAAGGCGCACTGACGATTTTTGAGAAAATTAAAGGATTTAAAGTGCGCCTTATAGTGCGGAAAATACGGTATAAAATTTATTTTTATTACATTTGCTAACTTGCCAAAAAAGACACAGAGGCTGCCTCATAATTTTAAAAAATATCTCCATGTCCTTAAGGAGCCTAAGGTTGGCTGAGCCAAGGTGTTTTCTTCTATAGAAAAAAAGAATCAGCAGAGATGTGCAATTAGACATTTGTGATGACCCACTCCACGTTGTTTCCCTTCCAGCCTGTTTATATAAATATTTATATTAGAAATATATAATATAATTATATTATATAATATATAAAAGCCCTCAGAGCTCGTCTGTCATATGCCTCTCCTCCCTGAGATGCCCTTCTTGGATTTTGGCTTGGGTATGCAAACAACATTGCATTTCATTTGTGCACTCATCTACACTGCTGAGTGTACTGACCTGCACAGCCCATGGCCTGTTTGAATTCCTCTTTTGCTTTCTTTTTTAATTAAAATAAACAGTTTCTTTTTTTAATTGGCATTTTGTGTGTACATCTCCCGAGCTGATTAAACAAGACAGAAATAGAGATGGACTGTTACAAAAAACAAAAAACGATGTTGTGCTTGTGTGTCAGCACACATATGGCAAGGTGTCTGCTGAGAGTCTGTGCCTTAATGGCATATATTAGAACATATGCTGTCCAATAAATAATGTACCAGGGCCGTAAGAGCCATGACCAGGGTGTGTGCAGACATTACATGCAGGAGACGTGACACCCAGGGACTTCTGACAGTTGAATTAATCATACAGGCCAGGAGGAGACTTTTGCTGTGATTTGGTGCTGTATAAATAAGACTGAATTGAACGGGGACAGTTACAACAGCAACATATCTTTTCTGGGTCACAAAAAATATCACTATTGTTATTACTAGGACTAGTATTCTGCCTAAAATAAAACTCACCCATAAATGGAGATTAAATGCAAGAAATAAATAACTGGAAAAGGTTCAATTTAATTTGATTTAATGACAAGATAATTCTAGTCTTCCTCTTTCTTTTATAAATGCAGTAGATTTGAAATGTAGATCTAGATGGATAGATGTACAAGAGCAACATGTGGAACCCTGTGGCTACAACAAAAATGTAGATTCAAATAGAAGTACAGTGCCATTTTGAAGATGTTCAAAGCAACCCACTCCTTATACACAGGTCAATTAAAGGAATAGTTTTAAGTACAGCATCAAGTCAGTTAAACCTCTCGGATACTTGGAGGTTTGTTCATCAGTTTCAGCCGCTCTGATAATAATGAAATTACCAGCAGGTGCAATAGAGGGGCAACAACGAGGCAACACCAAAACTGGACTGGTTTTACACGTGGAGGCCTTTTTCCTTTATATTCTATTAAATTGTGTGTGATTTGTTTGTGTATGAATGCAGTTATGTTACGTGGACATGCCTCATGTGTCATGGTTGTGGGTCTTTCACCCAGCTTTTGAGTTTACTTTGTGATTTTTGATTCTTTGCTTTATTTATATGTCGTTGAGTTTATGTGTTATGCCGTGTTTGCTGGCCAGCTGCGTGTCTTGTCTCCTTTAGTTGTGTCCATGCTTCCCTCGTCTCCCCTGTCTGCCATGTGTGTTCTCTCCCAGCCCATCATGTCTCTCGCCCTCTCTGTCCCTCTGATCCCTGGGTTTTGCAGGTCTGTGTCTCAGTGTGTGTCGTGTTCAGTTTAGCTCCCCTCTTGCTCATTAGTTGATTTTGCTCACCTGTGCCTTGTTTTCCCCAGCTGTGTCCTGATGATCTTGTGTGTATTTCAGCCCTTTATTTTCCTCAGTTCTTTGTCGTGATCTCCCTCATTTCCCAGCTGTGTGCGCTGCCTGTTTGTTTAGTTCCACTTTTTCCTAGTTTGTTTTTTTTGTAACACTTTAGTTTTGTTTGACAGTCTGTGTTTTGGGTCCTCTATCCTGCCCACTTTACATCGCTTTATGACATCATGTGGCTACATCTGACTACAACACACTATCCCAAGCCTCCTGTAATTCATTTAGATGCTAACTATTTCCTCGACAGGCCAGGTGTACCGAGGCACGCAATCAGCTGGCAAAGTAGATGTTTGCAAAACGCCATCACTGCTATTTTAGGCAATAAAATCATTTCTTTTTTTCCAAGCACAACCAAACAGTTACTACGTGAACATCACACCACAAACACAACTGTTTCTTATCGAAACACAATTGAAAACTGACCATGACTGACCATGACGCCAGCCCAACAGTGCTTTAGTGTAAATGTGCCACTGACCATGACACTATAAATTCTGCATAAATTACATGTTTTTGCCTTTTTCATCTCTTTGTATGCAATAACCTGGTGATATGCCAGTAGGATTGTATTTCATGTGTTACTGTTTTGACTTCTATCGTTTGATGTTTGAAGGCACACAGTGGCGACAAACAACTCCCCTCAAATGTCTTAAACCAAATATTTTTGGTAATGTTTTGAAAATGTAAGTAGTACAACTACAGATATGTGTTTAATAATTTAGGAAGTAAAAGTAAAAGGGTGTTAAACAAATACTTGAGTAATGTACAGATGGCTGAAAAATCTACCTAAGTACAGTAACTGCCAACTCTGGCCATTACAATTTTCTAATTTAGTGAATATGAGATCTTAAAAGAGTTAACCTCCTACTGAAAACAGTGCAACAGTTTCAACTAAACATAACATGCTCAAGCACTAAATCTAGACCCCGACTCCTCTGGTCGAAATCAAAATCAGTGATGCAAGTTTGTCTTTTCTTTATTCCTTAAGTGAGTTTTGTTATTGTTTGATTCACCTGGGAGACAGTTTAGTCAAAAATCATAACCAGGTCATTTAGTGAATGAAGCCACACTTTCTCATACAGATAATCCTACAAGGATTCATTTTTCTGTGGAAAGAACAACAAAAACAAATGCCTATAAACTGTTAACACATGACCTATTGAACCTGCCAGACGGTTTCATGTTGTAACCTTTTAAAAACTCACAGAGTCCTGCAAGATCGAGGAACTGAAACCGCGACTGTGCCTGCCAGTTCCTGTCATCTCACAAGAAAGAGGACTGAAAATGAGGAAGTCACATGACCATTGCTTCTATGTGTCCTAATATGAGCTGTGTCCCAAAACGTAGGCTTCATCCTTCAGAGGACCCGGCATTCGCGGTCTACGTGGGCCGGGTCCTTCGAAGACCGAGAAGGCCGGAAGTGCGAGGCTGTGAAATGGGACGGTCTAACCTTCAGATCTGCGTCACCGCTAGGGATGGGTACCGGTATCGGTTCTGTCATAAACGGTAGTAACCAGACCGAAAAGCAGCGCACATTT